CTTGTTGTTCCCTTCCCCTCACCTCTCTCTCCTCATCTTTCTGAAGAGCACTGAGCATATCTGGAGCAGTACCACTAATAAATAAATAAAAGAAAACTTGAATGATCAGACTTACTTTAAAGGAGACCTCATATTCAGTTCCAGGACCCACAATAACCAAATAAAGTAAAACCTTTATTCACAGCCTTATCTAAAGCCCACTGAGAATACTGGGGAAAAAAGGCCACTGATTTTGAAGGGCTTTTAATCTGTTCTATAATGAAATGTACTTGAATTGGAGCTTCACTGTCATGAAATCCTTCACTCTCTCTGCTTTCTGGACCCCTGAAATTTCTGGGTATTGTCTCTGCTTTCCCTACATACTACACAGCAGTACTATACCTAAACTCCTAGTGGCCCCAGGCAAACGTTTAGTGTCAGTCCCCACTTCGCCAGAGATAATGATAATAATAATTGAACAATGGGAAAAAAATTACCACTTTCAGGCCCCCTCTCTGTCTGGGCCCTGGGCAGATGCTTGGTTCTCTCGTGCCTGTTTGCTTATGCTACACAGAGTGACTAAGACACTTAGGTCTGTTCCTGCATTTTTCCTGCCCTACTCATGCCATTTTATTCAGAGTACTTCTACAGAAGATCTCGCAGCAAGGGGCTATTAATATTGTATTGGAGGAGGCTTGACATAACTTGGAAGCACATCAGGCAGAGCTTTTATCATTTGCTGGAAATCCCAGAACCCTCCAAAATACATGAACCCATCACAAATTAGCCATGATCTAAAATCCTATGTCCCAAAATGTGGGTCACAGAAGGGGTAGCCTAGGCAAGTAATAGTAGTTGAAATCACAAGGCCTTATTAATTTGTACTGAGCTGTAGTTTTTGCTACCTTTGGGGGTGAAAAAGTGAGCACATGCAAATAAATTAGGTATATAGGTGCATAAAGATACAACTAAAAGCCAAAGATTGAATTCTTAAGTTCCCAAGTAATTTTGGGTTTAATTTTAACATACAGTCTCCTACGTTATATGCTGCTGTGCATGATGTGATAAAGCTAGGACAGGTTTGAAAATATGTGAGGTGGTTTGCAGGAATTGTTAAAAATCAAAACATTAGTGGTCAGGCAAAGTATGGCATAAAACTCACACACAAAGGTGTTTCTCTGCTTGTGGATATGAATGATAACTTTTAAAGACCATCTCCAACTGGTGCCAAAATGTCAGGGAATGCGCCAGGGCTTGGTGGGGAAGAATTGATACTTGTGACAACTGGAAAACCAGAGCATTGGATAAGCCTGATTTCTACACGTTCCCAGTGGGGGCTGCAGACATAGCATGCGCACATACTTGTCAGTGAGAAGTGGCAATCGATATGAAACTGCTATAAGAAAACCAATGAAGAGCAGAGGCAGAAAAGTTTGAAGGTTTTAACAGGACTACAGGAGCATTTAGAATTAATAGTGATGTCCTGTCAAATCACTGAAGCTTCAAGGCTAGAGACTTTGCTCCTCCCATGGCAACCCCTGCCAGCCAGCCTACATAAACAACAGTGTCTGTGTGATCACCAGTTATTACAGCCAGTCACTCCAGGCCCTGAATTAGGGTGTAACAAGTCAATCCTACTTGCAAAATTCTCTGGTTTGAGTATTCACCCTCCTTTTCTCATATCAGAGAGAGCTGCCCAAGAAAATCTGACTTGATACTTCCATTACAGTTCTGGAAAATGGAAAAATGTTTTGTGTCAAGTCAAGCGAAATGTTTTGTTCTTGGTGAAATACTTGTCAAGCATTTTTAATTTTTTAACAGTAACACTGAAATAATTGTTGAAACCAAATGTCATTGTAGATGGACAAATTGAAACAAAATGGTTTAGATTTTTTAAACTTTTTTTTAGGTTTTTTTTTTACTGAAACCATTCAACAAGATTGATATGATGTCATGAAACATTTTTGCTTCACTTAAAACTGCATGTTTAGATGGAAAAAGTTTTGATTGAAAAATGTTTCCCAACTGTAATCAGAAATCAAACAATACTGAAGCCCCTCTGCCCCAGAGAAAGGTAGCTTTTGGTCTGCCACACTCCTGCTGTGGGGGGTCAGCATGGCTCAGCAATCCACCTACAAATGCATGCCCTCAGCCCGAAAGCTTGCAAATAAACAATGTTTGTTTTTTTTCCAAACATCTAGTTGGTCTAATAAAAGATATTACTGGTCCCTTCTAAGCTGGCCTTAGTGACATAGCTTGAAGCTTCAGCATAACTCTAGATGCATCTCCACTGCATGCAGGAGGTATGACTGCAGCATGGTGAGTTTAAACTTTAAGCTGACTAGTTTAGTTAACCACAGCAGTGAAGGTGCAGTAGCACAGACTTCAGCAACAGCTGTACAAGCCTGCTCAGGATACTGAGGGACCTAGGTGACTAACTTTCAGTAAAGTCCATGCCACCACAATAAGTCTTCATAGCTATTAGCCATGCCAGCTGGATCAGATGTGTGCTACAGACAAGGCAACAGAGATATGTGACTTGATCTTTTGCTTACTGAGGTGTGCTGCACAATTTCCCAGGCAGCACCCAGAGATTTTTGGATTCTGGCATTTCAGGCTGAGCAAAGTAGTCAGTGGTGTGGGAGGAAGGGAATGTGCGTGACATCCCTTGGCCAGGGGGAGAATGAAGCACGCACAGAGACCTTGACCTATGCAGAGACGGAAATATGGAGATACATGGAGGTCCTGTGAGGAGAGAGGTTGAACTAGGGGTAATGAATATTAAGGGTATGGAGGATGCACAGAGCCCCTGAAACAGAGGAGGGTTGGAGAATGGCAGTCTGGAAGGTGGTGGGGGAGGGCTTGGAGGGTGCAGATAGCACCAGCATGTGCAATATGACTGGTGAACAGAAAACTAAAGTATTCTGCCATTCAGTGGTTTCCACCCAAAATCAAAAGGGGCTCTCTTGGCAATTATTGTCTAACTTCCTTCCACTGATCATCATCACTCCATCTGCCAGACAATCAGAGATGGAACCATTTAAAACAAAACACAATTTTTTCCCATCTCTTAAATAAATGTGCAGGAATAAACCAATTGCCAGATGCTGGGGTGGGTTTTATTTTTCCTGAGGGCACACTGGCAATTATCTCAGAGCTGTTTTTTACTTCCATCTAGAAGATGGAGCAGGGATTGTGTACAGCTGATACTCACTTAGCAACACCTGTTTAGAGCAACAGCTGCTTACCAGCAACATATCCCTCAGCTACATTTCCCATACCATGTTTTCAGACAGCACTCCCCATTATGGCAACGACTTCTTAGGAGCAACACAGTGGCCAGGCACCAGCTTGTTGTTACTAATAGGCATCAACTGTAGTAGGATAGAGCCAGTGGACATATCTACACCAGACGCATACTGCAAATTAGCCTAATAACACTAAGCAGTACTGCATCACAGCACAAACCGTGCTAATAGCTTATTGCACAGTGTTATTAGGCAAATGCACAATAAGCATCATGCCACCTTAGTTGGGGGGCACATGTCCCCCAGTGACTAATGAACGACCGGGGGTTCCCCCGCAGCCAATCTTGCCGAAGGGGGGGGGATCCCCCTGCGGCAAAACTTACCGACTGGTGGGCAGACGCGCTGCTCCCGAAAGTGGCTGTGACACACTCAGTACCTGGCCAGCGCTCACGGGGGGGCTCCTGCCTGCCCCCCTGCCCATCACCTAAGCGGGGAGCACGGCCAGTCAGGGGGTGCATGCGTACCCCCATGCACCCCTTACCCATCGCCACTGGTAAGCGTCACTAAATAACTGTGCTGGTGCTACTGCACAGTAACTCTAGGTACTGTGCATTTACTTAGTCCTTTATTAACCGAGTACTAAACTAAATGCGCAGTATGTGAGGTGCATTAATGAACATGTAGATGTGTCAAGTAGGTCACAGAATCCAGAGGCTGAGGGGGACCTCAGGAATTATCTAGAGCAAATTCCTAAACAACCTCTATGGGCATTTTGCCAGTTTGATACATCTCTTTCATTTTCAAGACGTTCATCCGCTGACAAGTTATGGCTTTAATTTGTGCTAAGAGACTTCTACCTGCAGATCATGCAAAGCCCCAGTTATAAAACTTTTCTCAATGTTCTGAAAAGCCTGCGAGACACCATGCAGGAAATAGCAACCCTGATGCCAGGCCAGCTGATTGCTCCACAACACCAGCTAAGGATTGGCAGCTTTGGCTGGTATCCAACTTATGTAAAAAAACTTATAAGATTACAAGTATAGGAACACCTTCAAAGGCACGCGGACCCCTTCTGAACACTAGTCCTTGCTAAAAATCAGGAACATGCAAGTTAATACAGCGATGCAAAATCATTTGCTGCACCCAGAGAAACAGGCAACTGTCCCTTCCTCGCGTGAATACACATCAGTGCACACTGCACAGTAATGCCAGCAAAGTGGAGCATCTCTATAGACTGCAAGGACCATCTTCTCTGAACTCAGACAAACTGCCCTCTATCTGCAGCTCTGTTTAGAATCAAAGGCTCCATTCTCCTAGAAGTCAGGGCAAATGTGCTGTGCTTGCCCCTCAAAAGGGCTGTGGTTCAGCATCAAAAGAAACAATCTAGCCCTCTATCTCAGTGCATTTGCACTACCCCTTGATAGGATTAGAGGGGCTGTTTTGTTTTCAGCTTGCCTTCAGCCTGCCACACGGATTAGTTCAAAGTGAAGGAAGAGAGCGGGAAATAATTCCAGGAAAGGAGAGTTTAAAAATATAGCAGCTTCTCTGCCCCCTCACTCTCATAAACAGCATCATTTAAACCATCCAGAGAAGAAAGCTCCCTTCCTGAGTTTTGCAAGAAACCCTGAAATCATAACACAGGCAGAAAGGTGAGAAAGTAAATAGCTCACAAATACACTGGAGTCTCCTGGTGGGAGACAGAAAGGGGGATCCATTAGGTGGGTAGGGACAGAGGCTTCCCTTTCTGTAAGGGGTAAACAAGACTGAACTTACCTTGGTAGAAACCCAAGCAGAGGACTGTGAGAAGCACCCAGTCCTTCCACACACTGTCCATTCTGCTCCTCGGGGGGAAGAAACCCCTCTTCAAACTCTGGAAGCGGAGCAAACCTGGCCTCAGTATTTTGCTCTCCTCTGGTAGCTCTTGCACACAGTGAGACAGCGAGAGTTGTACGCACACAGGAAATTTCACTGAGATCATGAACACTAATTTACCAGCAAAAGAGAAAAGACATAGCACCCCCCGGTGGTAAGGAAAAGCAAAGAACTGGGCTGCTCAATGCAAGTTGATCCCCCAGGTTTATAAGGACTTCTTATTGTTTCCATTCATCAGCAGCTGACTGTGTGAGTGCTGAGAGTCACCCAGGAGATAAATGATAGGGCATTCATTAAAAGAAATATTAAATGTTGAATCGAATTTATACAGTAGTCCCATGGGTTTTTAAAATGTAATAGCCATGTGCATTTGCCTTCCTGACCTCAAGTCTATGCACCATAATTAATGGCATTACATCATGTGATGAAACCTTCTGGAATAGATTCAGAGTTGGCAACCCTACATTGCCCTGAGTATTTTTCCAACTCAGTTTTTATCTGGGTTGACTGAGCGGTTCGTTCCTAAGTTAGCCATCAGTCTGGTAGCTCCGCCAGGATCAAACTCGAGGTTCTACCGTTGTACCTGGAACTCAGGAGCACAATTTGGGAAGGTACATCTCAGCTCAAGTGACAGTGAAGATGGTAGGGAAAAAATAAAAGAGAGGAATCAGAAATGTGGATCAGGAATGCAGAGCTCTGAAACTGTGTATGAAGGCTCTGGAAGAAAAATGCTGGGCACAGAAACCCATTTGCCAAAGCATAATTGTAGCGCTGCAAAATACAATGTCATGTCATTGCATTATAATACATGATGTACACAGGCAAGCTTTTTTGGGTAGATGTGATATCTTTCATTAGACCAACTGAGTAGTTGGAAAAAAGTTCTTTGCAAGCTTTCAGGCACAAGCAAATCACCTTTTTCCAACTATGTCCTTAGACCAACATGGCTACAACCAAAAAACCTGAAGATGTGATGTGGCACTTTCTCCAAAGACCCTAGTGATGGTCAGGACAGAAGTCTCAAAACTACAGAGGTTCTGCAGTTGCTCAGTGTGAAAGCGTTGAATGCACTGCACAGCAGACTGGTGAATGGTAGATGAGAACCCATCACTTAGAGCAGGCAGCTTCATAACTGCATCTGGAATGATTCTGTGTCTAAATGCCTATGGTGGAAATATTCTGAATCCTCTCCTTTGATTTTTGGGGGGTTTTTTGGCCTGGAGAGGAGCATTGTACCCTGTTGAGAATGAGTCTCTGGTCATTGGTACAGAGTCTGAGGCAGAAAACAGGAATGAGAAAACATATGCAACAAGAAAAGCAACCAAGTTCACCAAAACACTTCTCCAGTCTCCTCTTCCTCCAGAGCCCAGCTGTCACTCTTCGCAGCAGACTCATCCTGCTATGTGTATTAACCACACTGAAAATTCTTTGATTTTTCCAGCCACATTCATTATATCCCATTTATTCCAGCTAATTGGAGTTTGGATTGTCCCTCCTGCAGGTCAGTGACTCTCAACTGAGGTACCATGGCACCTCAGGATGTTGTGAGAACCTTTCAAGGGTGCAATGCAAAATTAGCACTGTTAGCTGTGCAAACACCTGCACATTATTTAAGGTAAACCCAAAGATTTAAAATACGAATCCATAGTGTCAAAAACATCCTGACCTGTTGTGACCTTTCGAGTTCTTTACAGCAGAAGTAGCGCTCTAGTATTTTTCTGTAGTCAACAGTATTGCCAACCACACTATGTCAAAAATCATGAGAGAAACTCTTAAAAACCAGAAGATTTGGAATGTAAATCATAAGATGCTATTTTTGAAATGTGTGTTGGGGGGGGGTTGGTATTTGTGAAGGTGTGGGGGACTGTGGATGTTGGGGGGGGTTGGAGCC